CCATGATCTTGTATCCAAGTTGGGAATGGAAGACATCTATTCCTCAGCTTGAGGGGGAGTGTCGAGATGTGTCTGAGATGGAAATAAAGTTGTGAGAATTGATTCTAATTTCCTTAATTAAAGAAATTAGAATTAATTGGTAAATCCCTTAAATTAAGGAAATTAGAATAAATTTGTAATCCCTTAAATTAAAGAAATTAGTTAAATAGTTTCCTGGTTTTTTCTCCTTTTTATTTTCTATATAATACCTTGTATGATCAAAAGGTGAAATACAAATTATTCCTTTGATTTCCACAGAAACCAATAATGAATTAGTATGAAGAGAATGTGAGTAATCAGAGAGATGTGACAACCCCCAATTATCGTTCAAAAAAGAGATCACCATCGTCTGTGTCCCAAAACATGAAATTATTAGCAGTGTTTCTAGCATTTACGACAGCTTTCCAAATACGAGAGTCACCAACCTTCCACCAAACCAGGGAAGGATGAGTTTGAGTACAATATTTATGATGCAAAAAAGAAGCCCATAGAGATGCACCCAATCTTAATTTAAACCAAAGTTTGCAAAGGTTTACTTCCACAGTATGTTTCAAGGCCTTAAAGCCAAATCCGCCAGCCTTTTTAGGCTTACAAACTTTATGCCAAGAACCCCAAATTTTCTTCGCACCATTTTCCACCCATATGAATTTACTAAAAAACTTCTCCATAACATTGATGACACTTTTTTTAGGATTAAACACTTGCAAAGCATACAGTGGAATGCTCTGAAGAACATTAGGAAGCAAAGAGATCCTGCCCCCTGTTGAAAAAAAAACATTTCTCCAATCATTAATTTTACGTTTGATTTTATCAATAACATCATCCATATGAATTTGTTTCCTCCTTCCCCTTATCAAATTAACCCCAAGATATTTGAGAGGGAGAGAGGCCTGATGAAAGCCAGTATATGCAACTCCCCAATGAATACGATGTTGTTTAACCTGCTTGCCAAAAAACATCCAGCACTTGTCACAATTAAAGCGTAGTCCCAAACAATTCTGGAAATTCTGTAATAGCTCCATTACTTGTTTTATAGCAAGTTTAGATGCATTAGCAAAAATAATGACATCATCTGCATAAGCAAGGTGTGAAACCACTATTTTAGCTTTGTGAGAGAACTGTGTGTGAGGGTGTAAAAACTGGAAATGATTGAGCATCCTGGATAAATAATCAAAAGCTAAAATGAACATAATAGGGAAAGATAGTGGGGAAAGAGGGTCTCCATGTTTAATGCCTCGACAAGCAGTGAAAAAGACATAAGAATTTCCTCGCAGATAGTGCGGTATTCCTGTAGATTTATTATGATTCTGTTGCAGGAAATAAAAATTGCAATCTCATAAAAAAATAGAGAAAACGGCGGGCAAACTAGCAATTTTCTTTTCTGACGTTGAAATTTCACAAATTTACATTAGTTGGAGAGTTTCAATTAAGTTGTCTTAAGATGGAGATCATCAAGAAGGTTTTTGAAGATTTCAAACTGGTTGGGATTGACGGGTGGGTCATTTTAACGGAAAGCATGTTATGATACAGCTGAGCACATAAGATAATTACACGAGGATTTTTTCAAAGAAATTCATCACAATTGAGGGCAAACATATGAAATTGCTCAAATAGACCCCAATTTTGATCCCAGTCAAGAACCCCCAATTGCACATATCTGGTTCTCATTACATGAACTCAAGCTTCATTTCTTTGACCTACCTATCTTATATGCAATTGAGACTATCCTTGGAAAACCTTTGCAGGTAGACTTACCTACAGTTCATTTCTCAAAGTCTTCTATTGCAATGATTTTGATTGAACAAAATATTACACCACCAGATGTAGAAGAAGTCTGGCTTGGATCTGCTCACAATGGTTATTGGCAAAAAATCATTATGGAACAAAAATCATACTACTGCAAACACTGCAAGATGTTTGGACACCCGCAGAAGAAATATTTCAGATTGCACTCACAGTTGAGAACCAATAGTCAAAAGCAGGAACACACTATTAGTACACCCCATGTGCCCAACCAACTTGAGGAGGGAATCACCACAAAATAGGAGGTGTCTGCCCCTGAGATCCCTTCTCCTGACCATACTACAATGGATAATGTTCGAACTGAAAATCAGGATAGTTTCGCAGCTCCTATTTAGGAAGCATCAGGTGCAGAGGTAACAATTCACACTTCACATACACTGGAACCTATCGTGGTGGCAACGACTGTCTTTCCTCTTACTGCAGTGCTAACATCAAATTAGATCGAGAAATACATGAGCCAGTCTTCCGATGAAGAATGACAGGTTTACACTTTTCGGCGAAAGAAGAAGGCTGGGGGCTCACTCCAACTTAAAAACTTAAAGAATGATACTTTGATGACTCCTGACAATGACAAGACTCTTCAAAATTTGTTATCTGCTCCCGCTCCTAAAACTAGAGGAAGAGACAAGACTAAACTGGCTCGTCCCGAGCTACTTGTTTTCTACATGTTTTAAATTTGTTTTACATTTTATTGAGTCTATCTGTATCTTTAATTTTTTTTTTTGGGTATTACTGTAATTGTATCGTATGATAGGGTGCCTCCTTTGGGCTCTTCTCATACTACCTTTATGTATCCTTTTCTAATTATGATTTCAGATTTCTCCCTCCAGCACTCCCAAGGGCTGCATCCAAACATGAGAAAGTACTCTAGCTATGGCTATAACTCATCCGAGGCGATGATTATCTTCGCTTGTTCCACTCTTCCAGCTACTACGAAGTCCTCCTGCATTTCGATCCGCCAGCCTGCAGCCATCCAGCCACTAGCCAGCAGCCTTTCTGTTACTGTTTCCAGCCCCCGGCCTCTAGCCATCCAGCCACCAGTCTACTGCCTTGTTGTTCCTGCTTCCAGCAACCGGCCTGGAGCCTTGTTGAACCTTTTTCCAGTTGTCGGCCTGCAGTCATCCAGCCACCAATCCGCAGCCTTGCTGAACCTGTTTACAGCCGCCATCTTCAGCCCTGCTGAAGCCATGCTGAACCTGTTTTCAGCAACCAGCCGGCCATCCTACCAGAGAACTTCATCATCCTACACCTACTGCTGTTACCCACAACCTCTCCAATCGTTCCTGCTGCTATCCCAACCCAACTAGCCATTACACCCGTTGTCTAGTTGGAGTCTATTGGCCTAACCCTCGCCCTAAAGTGTTTGTCTGCCGTATTATTTCCTGTATTAATGTGTCCTCGTTGTAAACCCTCTGAATTTCAAAAGTAATATTTCTTTTTTATTGTGTTTTGGATAAACTCGGGTATCATTGCAAGGATTAGTTTTATTAGCAATGATATGAAGATGGTCAGCCAAATATTTGATAAAATGCCCCTAATTAGTGTGTTACTCAATAAGGGCCTTCAAGGCACGGAACTTGTTCTCTTTTTGGTCATGGCCATCATGATAAATGAAGAACTTCATCCAGCAAAGATTGTCGGTGAAAATGCAAATCAAAGTGGGCCACTTGTAGTTGTTATTGCGGATAACTACAAAGACCATAGAGACCAAGTCATGGAACATCTGAAGATGCCGATGCTCAGCTAACTTAAACTGTAATAATCATGGTGGTTAGAATGGTCACAGTCATCAAAATAATCATGATAGATAAGGTAATCTCCACAAAAGAGGGTCAACAGGGCAACCCATGCCTGATAGCCTTAGTGAAGCTTGCCGGCATGCCTCGACTGTTTAGATAATAGTAAACTCTATTCCCCTTAGCTGACTCAACAAGAAAAGGGAGGGAGCTTCAAAAGCTAAGGGAAGCTGAGTGCTGCAGGTCAAACGAAAACTTAATGGTATTTAATTAGATGAAAGTAGGGCTAGTAGAACAGAGCTAAGTGGATAAAGACAGATCGACGAGGTAGTGATGACTAGATGATGATAGACCAACAAAATAGAGTAAACCAAAAGAAAGCAGAATGGAAAGCCTCTAAGGTGCACAATAGAACCACGCCTTCCCAGACTAATTAGGAAGCGTAATTCAATCAAACCTACAGGAGCCCAAAATCAAACTGGGACTGACAATTCTATCATTATGACATGAGGATAGTCAAGATTGAATGCCAAAAAAAGATGCATAAAAGCATTTGAAAGATTATAATTATTAATATCTAGGATTAGTTCGATAAGATAATGATTATACAAATTACAACATTTTAATCCTTGACATTTATGAACTTAGTTGAACATCTTGCTTGACCCTACACCCTACAAATTCATCCACGATACCTTCTATTTTGGTACAGTATTAGTTATACTTATACCGTACTTTTTATTCCAGATGATTGTTCAGGAAACTTCATTAGTTTTTCAGTTGTAACTTGCTAACTTTTCAAATAGTAAATAAATTAGTTACAATCTATCAGAACTATTGTTTTGTTTATAAAATTATATTTCAAATCTCACGTCATTTCAGACTTAACATCGTGAAATCAGTTGATTTGTACTATGAAATAAAATCTCTTCATATCCCATGTCGCAGTCATGCAGCCCCTTTTCTGGATCCAAGTTGATCTAGCATGTCACTGTCATCAATATTTTTAGATGATACCTCAAAAAAAGAGTCACTCTATGTGATCTAATTATTTATTTCTTTTGAATCATATTCTTGAAAGACAAATTTTAATTTTGAAAGCATAAAGCACAGGACATCCATAAGTTACTTTTAAAACCATATAAAGTCCGATAACTAGAATAAGAATATAAAAAACTGGACATGGTTAAGTACTTGATTTGCTGTAAACGTTTGTCTGATGATCACCTAGCATAAATTATTGCTAAAGCATAAAATACGGACATAAAAAATATTCCATGCATTATTGGTTGTAACTACATCCATAATTTACTTTTATTGAAAAAGCTTAATGAGATAATGGTCCATAAGAAAGCTAAGATTCTTTACACTAGGTTGAATTAAAACATCATTTTAACTGGGATAAAGGACACATGTAGATACCTGTATAAGAAAGGCCATGTCAACGACCAAAGTGGTAATTACACCAAAAACTAGTCCTAAAACTCCATTAGCTACAGTAGAAGAACCAATGTCAATATCAATCTGCACAAATCAACCGTGTTAGAAATCTCATGATCCAGCTTATCCTAAAATGACAATTCAGTTATCAAACAATTCTAGAAACGATTGTGTGATATAACCTATTTCTATCGCTTACTTCCAAGTATTTTGGTCCACGAATATAAGTGCAATCAACTGCTTTTCCTAGTAAGCATGGGGTGCTTCCTACACTCTGACGAACTATCCAAGAACCCTGAGAAAAAAAAAAAGAAGCTGGGGTTAGAAGCCGAATGCATAGGATGTCAATCTAGGCCTGTTAAACAACATAGAAGCAGCGCAAAATAATTGAAAGAAATAGCAAAGATAACCTTAGGAACGGAGGGGATCAGTTTGAATCTACTGTTTCGAAATTCATCATCACCATCAACAAAATGCTGCAGCAATGATCCGGAAACTAGTGCTTTTGACACAAAATAAAAGACCATACTGTAGTGGGTTGAAGCTGGAACCTGCAAAATAATAAGTTATTCTACTATGGCGAGCACAGAAACTTTATAAATAATTGCAAGTAGAGGGAGAGATAAAAGAGTATCCCAGCAAGAATTTAAGTATGCTAAGAAGTGGAATGAACTAAAATGAGAGCAACTTCAGTAGCAATGTTATGAGGAAGAAGGCTTCAAACAAAGCTAATTGATATAAATACAGCAACAATATGCAAGTGAAGTAGATAATCTACCAACTCTCACTATAGTATAAATCTAAAAGCATCAATGGTCACAATTAATTACTATATTTTCAAGAACCTTACAACACCAGGAGCATATCAGAAAAGCTTATAAAAAGTATCCAAAACAACAATATATATATTTGAGAAAGCCCAAAGGCTAATATATTAAAAGGAAATAAGGATACATATAGATTGTGTGGAAGGACCCAAGCATGACACCTTTCCCCCAAGATAATCATCACATACAAAAGGTTCCAAAAAAATAGAAAATACAAAAAAATAAAAGAGACCTAAATAAAAAAATAAAAAATGCCAAAAAAACATAGTATCAGGTAGCTAGAGAGCGACCCAATTTTCCTTTGCCTCTACCTCTAGTTCTAGGAAAGGAGCCAGATAATAAATTGGTAAAGATGAGTGTCATTGCTAGTAGTGACCAAAGAATCATCTAATAAGTTTCCAAGCTCGACTCGACCTCCAGTCTTCTTCTTCCTACTGGAATAGACCCGTTATTCTTCATCTGAAGATTGACTCGCCTGATCAGTAGATTTGTCTAAAGTGTGTCGAACATGTGTAGGATGTTGAACATTAAAAGTAACCGCTTGTTGTACCAGCTGATCTTTGATTGAATCAAAGCACTCTCGTGTGTCTTAGCATGTAAGTGAGTTTTCTTCAGTAACAGTGAGTTGTATAAGCACTTTTGGATCTGTATCTGTAGTATGATGTTCTTCATCAGGAACTACGATGTTGGATAAAGGATCAATTTGCACCTTCTCAGCAGGTATGGTAGGTGGCTGATCTTTAGCGATATCCAAAATTTGTCATGTGGTAGCTTTCTCTCCAGATAAAACAGATATGTCCAGAGTAGTGGGATTAGATCTATCCTTATTCACTCGATCTTTAGATTTCAAATTATGATGAAACTTATAACATTTATCAAGTGTATGCTCAAACATCTTACAATGAGAACAGTAAGACAGTCTATGCTCCATGACGATTTGTTGCCAATATCCATTAACATCAGGTAAAGTAATATCTCTTTCCACAAGTATTCTGGCCACAAAAAGTCTGGTTAGGTTGAAAGTCGGTAGATCTAGCTTCATAGGGTCCCCAAGTATGACCCCAATAGAGTAAACAATCTGATGAAGAAAAAAGTGTAGCTTGAGACCTGGTAGACTGAACCATACCGGTACAGTAGGAGGTTCATGATTAAGGTCAAAATCAGGAGACCACTTGAGTAGCTTCATTGATTTACCAGCAAAGTTGAGATATATTTTAGAGAAAATCCGAGTGTAGTCTTCAACCACGATTAATTGAATCAATACATGTCTATATATATA